AGTTATGGTCCTTCGCTGTCTATTGAGCAGACTTGAGGTGGGTCAGTGACTGAGCTGTATTGCTTAGCTACAGTGGAGCACAGTAAGGTCAACCACCTGCCCGTCTACAAGGGTGTCAAAATCACAGGAACGGGGGAATAAACACATAATCTTTTATCAGGTTTAAGAGTTCACATTATATGTGAATTTAGCTCTAAAGCTTTGCAAATGCCCTACCTACCTCCTCCCCCCTATAGATTTATTTTTATACATAAATACCTTTTATCACAAGGGTCTTCTGAGCAGAAGGTTGACATCAAGGGTTCTTCCTCTTCTCCGGCAGCAATGGTTGGTCCTTACTCTTGTTGTAAATGGCGCACATGTAATGACCTCCCATTGCAGTAATACTCCGTGCCCAGGGTGTGTTATGATGCCTTCCCATGAAAGCCGGGGCTCAGAGGAAGTGGGGTTTAAAGCTGAACTCCTGGCAGTCATTTGGTAGCAGTATTAACATGTCACTTCCTACTTCCCATCAGGTACGTTAAGAAAAAATTCTTGTTTCTGTTGTGCCCATGGAGGGGAAGTATGGAGTCATTTTAGAAGTATCCCGGAGCTCAGTTTTCAAGTAGAACTGAAGCCAAAAAAAAATAGTTTTTTTGGAGTTTAGGGACGGCTATAACCCCTGTCAGCTTTTTATGCCATCTATGTCCCATTGGGGAGATTTCCCTTCACTTCCTGTTCGATAGCCACAGCAGCAGGTGAGATGAAATCCCTCCAAAGTGAAGGAAATCCCTAGTGGTCAGCAGAACTAGTGTCCCCATTGGAAGATTTCTCATCTATTCCTGTTCTGGTGACAACCCAAAATTTGGGATTCTCTTTCACTTTCAGTGATAACGGTCACCAGGATCAATAGAGCGGGTGAATCTCCCTAACGGGGACACAGACAGCAATAAAAACCTGACAGGGGGCCCAATCCCTTTCCACTCTATGCAAAACTTAAAAATAAAGTTTTGGCTTCCATTGCACTTTAATGATGTTGGTTTTCATTTAACCTGTGAGACTGAGGACATCTAGTGGTAAAGAAGATGTACTGCAGGTGTGTGCAGCTCCTCCATTGAAAGTAAGTATTGCACCAAAAGCTTCTTTTTTTTTTTTTGTAACTTTTTTAATTAATGTTATATTTATTTAAGTAGCAATCTGTCATTTTCCGGGATCACATCTATCCATGTGCAGTTATTTTGGAACTCTAAAAACAAGGGTTCCCCCTAAAGGCTTTGATAATCTTATATTCCCTAAGCATGAATTCTGGGACTCCATGACTGGGCACCCTTCTTGTATATTGGGATGACTAATAGGTCACATAGGGTAATCCATTTCTTTTTCTGTGCAGGTGAAGCAGCTGCTGGACCAGATAAAGAATTCAGAAGAGGTTCTGCAGAGCTTGCAGAGGAGTCTGTCTGACAGCCAGCAGAAGACCGCACGGAAAATGGTGAGAAGCATGGACAAGCATCAAGTAAAGGGAACCTGTCATTAGAGAAAAATAGATCCTGCCTTTTCTAACCTCTTGCCTGACTGTTAGATGTCACATCACATAGAAACCAGGACCTGTTTAGGATATTATATCCCCACCAGGCATTATATCTTCCAGATTGTAACATTATCTGTCTTGGTGCGTCTCTCTGTCTCAATGCGTCTCGCTGTCTCTCTCTCTCTCTCTCTGTCTTGCTCCCTCGCTGTGTCTTGCTTCCGTCCCACTCCCTCTCTCTTTCCCGATCCCTCTCTCTGTCTCGATCACTAATCTTAAACCTGTTACCTGTGGTCCCCTCTCAGGGAGCTCTGACGGCCTCCTTCAGTCGCTTGTTCCAGGAAGTGAATTGTCTCAACGATGAGAATGAGAAGCTGAGATCCCTAGGCTCAGAGACGACCGCTGTGGGACAAGGCGTGCAAATGTCTTCTCAACAGGTATGTTCATAGATCTCATTGTGCAATGTGCACAGCGGCAGTCCGCTCTGGCAACAGCCAACAATAAATGTTTGTGAAACTTGTATATGTCTGTCATACAAAAAGAATTCAAATTGCAGGAGCAGGAAGTGTCACTGTACATGTTTGCTATGTGTATCAGTATGGATCCTCTGCAGGAAGAGTCACTGTACATGTTTGCTATGTGTATCAGTATGGATCCTCTGCAGGGAGAGTCACTGTACATGTTTGCTATGTGTATCAGTATGGATCCTCTGCAGGAAGTGTCACTGTACATGTTTGCTGTGTATCAGTATGGATCCTCTGCAGGAAGAGTCACTGTACATGTTTGCTATGTGTATCAGTATGGATCCTCTGCAGGGAGAGTCACTGTACATGTTTGCTATGTGTATCAGTATGGATCCTCTGCAGGAAGAGTCACTGTACATGTTTGCTATGTGTATCAGTATGGATCCTCTGCAGGGAGAGTCACTGTACATGTTTGCTATGTGTATCAGTATGGATCCTCTGCAGGAAGTGTCACTGTACATGTTTGCTATGTGTATCGGTATGGATCCTCTGCAGGAAGTGTCACTGTACATGTTTGCTGTGTATCAGTATGGATCCTCTGCAGGAAGAGTCACTGTACATGTTTGCTATGTGTATCAGTATGGATCCTCTGCAGGGAGAGTCACTGTACATGTTTGCTATGTGTATCAGTATGGATTCTGTGCAGGAAGCGTCACCATGTTGTACATTTTCCAGAGAGTGGAGCAGCACAGGCAGGAGCGTCTGTGTATTGAGGTCGTCAGTCTACAGGAAGAGCTAAAAGCTGAACAAGTGACTAAGAATGATTTGGAGGAGCAGCTGAAGAGATGGGAGGAGACACAGGCCGAGGAGAGGGGTGAGCGAGGACAATACATGTATCTGGCTGTTAAAGGAAACCCGTGCTGAGACAGACACACAGGCTGCCATCACTGATCTGGAACAAGCTTGCAGCAAGTGAAGTTTGACCTCTGATCTCCATGCTTGTTCTGGACCAATTCTTTAGAAAGCAATGAAGCCAGAGATTGCCAGGTAACTAGCATTTTCAGAAGGAGAGGTCAGCAACGGCCCCTATGTATTTTAGGGTGCAGGTTTACATTAAGCCGGTAATGCAAAATATCCAGGTTCAGTAGAATTCCTTGGTCTTATTATAATCCCTGTGTGTGTGGAATTTTTAGTTCAGATTTTACGTGCCGTGCCATAGGGTGGCAACGCTATTCTTCCATATATACAGTACAGTGAGTGAGCATTGCCACCCTAGGACAGGAAGTATGTTAATGGCAGGATCACCAAGCCAAAAGGTAAAAACCTGAAAAAATGAAAACTAATGCGGCCACCACATCTAAGGATTGGTAAGCTGCAATATATTACACTTCTTCTTATTTTGAGGTTTAGACTTTAATGGGCATATTTATAAAGCAGTGAATGAGACTTTTGTTAAACATTCACTGGTGGTGCACTAATCATTGTCATTTAAAAACATATGCTTCTGGAAGATTCACCTGCATTGAATAACGTGAGGCGAATATCAGCTGACTGCTTTATAAATATGCCCATCAGCGTTCAGCATTTACACGGACCTGCGTATAGTACAGCCAGTCATGTCTTTTATTAGTATGACATCTAGTCACCTCAGTATCTTATAATGGGGATGAGATAAATCTTTTGTAAAGGTCGCTGTGTTTATGATTTCTAATTCACATTTTCTCTCCTCCTTGGTCATCTTCATACTGTTCATACAATGGGATTGCAGAGATTATGGAAGGTATGTGATCTATGACACGGTTGTACTGTCATCCACACTCTTTGGTCATGGGACATCACAAGTCCCCTTTTCACATCTGAGTCCCCCCCCTTATATAAAATCCCCTTTGACAGTCATTCATACTCTTTGGTCATGTGATGGGATATAATATAGAGAATATGCTGCAAAAGTTCTTGCAATTTTTTTTCATTTAAATAAATCAAATGTAAAGTTTAAGGACACGCTCTTCAGACTGCGTCCTTGATGACGTGATGATGTTTCGGGTCTTCTCAAGGCCTACATGTCTTTTATCAGCACTAGGGGGGTTAGGTTTTGAGTCATTGGTGATCTATGGAGTATGGCAACCCATAATAACCAACCAGATTGTACGTAAATCAGTGAACAATGAATTATGATTGGCTGCAGGCTGTCTTGTGGAATAAGATGGCAAAGGGTAGGTATAGAAGCACACACTGTGTATGTAAAGGGGACCATATGATTTATGGAGATTAGAGCAAAACAGGATCTGTTACTTGTATCAGGTAAATCAAATCCTTGTTAAATCAGAACTCCAGATAGATATTAAAGACAAACATTGATGCAGCTCTATAATCATTATGACATTTATTTCTTTTTAAATGTAGCTACCTGAATGTCACCTGGTATCAACCTCTTTCAGCCCCCTGTACAGCAAGGCTCAGACTGGGGGGGAGGGGCAGTACAAGGAGCCATTTAATAGTGCTCATGTACTAACAATAAGCATGCTAACAGGAGGAGAAAGCAGAGTAACAGAGTGAATAGCTCATCAATGTGCTGCCTGTGCAGTCACAGGCTGGGGAAGGGACAAGACCAGTCAGTGTTTCTCTCCTGCGGTTCAGTAACACTGACA